GCCCTTATTTCCTAGTTGATTCCGTTTTTAAGATGCTGGTTGCAACACGGACCTCATCTCACAACCCACAAGCGGGCGTCCACCTGCAGTTTGACGGTCGCTGTTGGGCTGTCCAGGGGGGTGGGGTAGGGGAGGCTCTGAGAGCCGCATGCAGCCGTCCTGGGAGCCTGTCATTTCTGCCTCTGCAGTATTCCCCAAGTGTGCCCTACCTCCAGCCTTCATCATCTCCCCTGGAATCTTGCAATAAAGGCTAATATTTACGAAAGCAGCTGGTATTATTTACTGTTACTGTTGTGAGTGTTTTACATGTACTAACTCAATTAGCCCACACAACGACCCCAGTCGGTTGGTACTGTATCATTCCCATTTCACAGAGGAGGAAACTGAGACCCAGAGAGGCTAAATCACTTGCCCCAGGTCACACAGCCAGGCAGCGTCAGAGTTAAGGTTTGGCACGACTCACTGCTTGTCCAAAGCACTAACTTGTCCCTGTGCCTCCACCATCTCTCTCTCTCTCTCTTTCCCAGGCAATTAGAATAATTTCCCCAAAACCCTGTCCTGAGCCTCTCCTGCTAAAGTCCCCTAAAGCCTGCTCCTCATTGCAGTCAATATTTGGTCCACACCGTGGTCCTGGCAACCTGGCCCCTCTGGAAGCCTCCTGTCTCGCCAATGCCCTCTCTACGGCCACACCCTCTGCTCTGGCTCCAGTATGTTCTCCCACACTCCCGTGCCTGTGCACAGGCTGTTGTCCACACCTCACACGCCCTTCCCGTGAGGGCCAACTCAGTTGGCTCAGTTCTCTGTAGCTCCCCTCTACCCCCCGACTCCATGCACACACACTGTGCCTGCACCTTCCCCCCGGCACCTGGCCTCCAATTGGGGAGTTACTTGTCTCCTATCCACGCCCCCACCTGCATGCCGGCTCCTGAGAGCAGGGACCCTACATCAGTCATCAGCTTGTCCCTAGGCCCAAGCTGGCTTCCCTGGGGCCAGGCACAAGGGCCACAGAAATGAACCTCTGGCCAAAGCTCCCAGTGAGGGCACGGCCCCTGCAGGTCACCCAATGCTCTCACCAACCCCCTTCCCCCGCAGCGGATCCCACCCGGAACCCTGGTGAGCCAGGCAGGGCGGGATGCGGATCCCATTGTACAGATGGAGCAGTTGAGGCCCTTGCCCCAGGTGCCGCAGCCCCTGCCTGCACAGTTGGAATCAAGACCCCTCTAAGCCCCCTGGCTGGGATCTCCCAGCACCCCACCACCACTACCCACCATTGTCTTTGCTCAGCTGCAGCTGCCGCCTCCTCCAAGCACACGGGGCCACCCTGCTGGGTCAAGAAACAAGGTCTGGAAAGAAGAGGGGACATGGTACCTGGCTGGCCAGCTCCCCCAGCAAGGCTTGCAGCCTCTCCTGGGCTTGGGCAGCGGCGCTCCTTTCCTGTGCCACGCGGGCGCTCAGCGGCGCCACCGTCCGGAGGTGTCTTCCGGAGAGCTCCAGCTCCTGGGTTCTGCGGCACGGAAGCAGGAAGGTGCTTACTCAGGAGGCCGTGAACAGGGCCTAACATTTTCACTGACACTGAGGCCAACCTTTTTTTTTTTTTTGGTTCATTTGGCCAATTTGAAATTCTGACAAAATCACATTTTGTGAAACACTCATACATATGTAAGATGATTTAGAATACTTCAGAGGTATCTATGGAATAATAATGCACCATGCATCAGGAATCTTAAGACTGTTCTCCCTAAGCCGGTAATCCCAAGTTCAGGTGAAACCAACAAAGAACTGAGCCAGAGACACGTGGCCTAAGAGCTTCATCTGTGTTGTTTCAGTCAAGCCTCACATTACCAGCTTGCGGGTGAGTTCCCTTACCCTTACTTCACACACCAGAAAACTGAGGATCAGAGAGGCCAGGCAACTTGCCCGAGGTCACACAGCATTCTCGAGCCCAGACCATCTGACTCCTGAACTCATACTTTTAACACTATGCTCCATTGCCTCCCATCTGAGCTACACTCTTCCGAATCTCTTCCAAGGAAATGATTGAAATTCAGAAAAAAGTTTCCGCAATTAAAATCACTAATCTTTGTATTACTTACAGAAGAGAGAAGGTGGAAACAGCCTCATAGTTAGGGACGGCCAAGCCACATGAAGCCTTTTCTTATCCTGGGGGAATGTTGAGCACACCTTCACTCCTTGGCCCGAGTCCACACAGGGGGGCCCGCTGCTCCAAGACACACTCTGCCTCCCTGGGTCAGGCCCTAGCTCTGCTTCCTGACTCTGCCACCAACCAGCCATGAGGCCTTCGCTGGGCTTGCTCCCCACCCTGACCCATAGTCTCCTTATCTGTAAAATAGAGGTCATTGTACCTAGCTCGGAGCGTTATTGTGGAGATTGAATGAAACGTTGCATGATGATCAATAATAAGGCCAAGAGTCTCCTCTCTTGCTCTAGTTCTGAGGCCCTGAGGAAGACTCGTGTAAGTGACAGAAGGAAGTGTGTCTTTTGTGATCAAGTTCCTTCTAAACTGAACCGAGGAGTGGTCCCAGGTTATAAACCCCAGGTTTACAAGCAAGCTGAGCACCTGCTTGCTTATAAAACGTGGTGATATCTGAAAGAGACAAGAAAAGCTTCTCTTTTCAGTTTTAGGACTTTGGCCTCCAGCACTATAAGACGATGCACATATGTTGCTTTAAGCCACCAAGTTTGCAGTATTTTGTTTTCACAGCCCTCGGGAACTGATACGCTCACAAATAGGAAATAGGTGATGAAGTACCATTTTTCACGGATTAACGACCAGTTAAACAAACATTAAGACGCAGTGCTGCAGAGTGCTATGAAGCCAGGAGACCCCACCAGGGCAGCAGGAGAAATGGCTGGCTGCTATCACCACCCTGGGCAGGCCGCCTGGGTTCAAGTCCGAGCCCCCCGACGTGGCTGGATGTGTGCGTGACCGTGGAGAGGTCACTTAACTGCCGTGCGCCTTCATTTCCCCATCTATAAATTGAGGATAACGCTATCATCTGACTTGGGGTATTGTTTTAAGGATTAAATACGTGAATATGTAAACAAACATGTAAACCATGCCTGGAACCGAGTAAACACTCAAGTGTAGAGCTACTGATAAATCTGTGGCATTTAGGTTGGAGATGAATATACATGATTGCGAGGGTAGTGAAGACGGGAGTGGGTTTTCTTTCTCAAATTTCTAACTACACCGTTTATTCTTTTTATCATAAATACTTTTTTAAAGATTTTTATTTATTTCAGGGGAGGGAGGAGCAGAGGGAGAAAGAAACTCAAGCAGATGCTGTGCTGAGCATAGAGCCCCACATGGGGCTCGATCTCACGACCCTGGGATCACAACCTGAGCTGAAACCGAGAGTCAGGCGCTTAACCGACTGCACCACCCAGGCGCCCCGTAATAAATACTTTAGAATTTTAACCCTTTCATCAAAGTGAACCCCAATGTACACTACTAACCTTTACCATACCCTGGCGAGATGACACCCATGGTGAAATTAACCCATTGTGCATTCAAACCCTGGCTTCCCCTCTTAGTGACCCTGGATAACGCAGTCCATCCTCCCCGCCCCAGCTCCCCTCATGCAGGATGGTGTGGCCCACCTTCTGAGAACAGAGGACAGGCAGGTCCAGGATGCTCCCTTCCAGAGCGGCCTCACCCCGGGCCCCAACCCCAGAGGCCCCCTCCCCTCCATTGCTCATGGTACCCCTAGGGCTCTCCTTGCATAGAGGGGTCTCCACTGGTAAGGGTTTCCCACCATTGTCCCCGGGCTCGAGGACTTTCCGGTTTTCACTGCCAGTTTTTCCAGAGAAAGATTTAAATCCACAACCACGTGGGGTTACAGTGCAGCTCTCTCCAGGGCTGGGAGGGCCCTACCTTCCCTGGGTCGCAACCCCCAGGATTTATGTTATGGGCTGATTTGTGTCCCCTCAAATTCGCATATTGAAATCCTACCCTCCAGGACCTCAGAATGTGACCGTATTTGGAGATGGGGCCTTTACAAAGGTAGTTGAGTTAAAATAAGGTCATCTGGGTGGGCCCTGATCCAATCTGATGGGGGTTCTTACAAGAAGAGGGGATTAGGACACAGACACGCACAGAGGGATGACCACGTGAGGACAGAGGGAGAAGGCAGCTGTCTACACACCACGGAGAGAGGCCTCGGAAGGAACCAACCTGCCCACACCTTGAACTTGGACTTCCAGCCTCCAGGACTGTGAGATAGTACAGTTCTGTTAAGTCCCCCAGTCTATGGTACTCTGTTAAAGCAGCCCGAGCAAACTGACATAACTCAGCACATGATTCTGGGGTGGGCTAGTGCAGGTGGTAGAATGAGTGAGAACGAATGAATGAATGAATGAATGGGGAATGAATGAATGAATGAATGGACAATCACATAAAGTAACAAAACAACTTTTCTGATATGTGAATTTCTTCCTGTAAAAAGTCTTACAAAGAGGAAAAAGATAAAAAGCACATGTAAATACACATTTAATGACTTGCCTTCATTAAAATGAAGGAAAATACAAAAAATGGTGAAGTCCCAGACAAATCCAAGACACTTGGCTGCTGGGATCGTGGTAAGCCTGTCTGGATGGATCCCAGGCATTACTGTCCTGCGTTTCCATGCTGGATTTCTCCCCTGACATGCATGCAGGACCCCACCTCACTCTGCTGGCCTCAGGATCAGGTAACGGTCATGAACGAGCATGGGCCTGGAGGACCTGGGCTCACATGCCAACCTCTGGACCCCATCGCTTCCACCAGGAGAACAGTACCCAAGTCAGGAAGGTCAGCAGTGAGAAATAAGCAGAGAGAAGCTCTGTAATGACAGAAGAGCTAAAAGGCCAGACAGAGAGGACCGGCAACCCAGAGATAAGCCACTGACAGGCACCCTTCCTGCCCCTGTGGCCAGAGGGACATGCGGGGAGGAGGCAGTGATACTGGGCCCAGGAGCCAGCCACCAGGCGGGGGAGGACCAGAGAGGAGCCCGAAAGCATGGCTGGGTCGCTGTGGGATGTCACCCCTAGCAGGAGAGGGGAAACCCTGGTCTCTCCCTTCCTCCTCCCTTCGGTGCCTTCCACTGGCTGGACCCCCATGGAAGCTGGAGCTCAGGAGCCTCAGACACGGTGCGGGCTCAGCCCCTGACCTGCGGAGCAGAGGACAGGACAGGACGGAGGAGGAACCAGAGGTGGGGCTGCCCCGGGCATCCGCATCCTCAGCCGCAAAAGCAATTCAACACACTGATCTAAGTCCATTAGGATGCCCAGGATTCGCTAAATACACCAAGAGGAGGTGCAAACACTGTATTTACCTGCTCCTCAGCCCGGCCTTGGACATCACGGACTTGTCCACAGTTGCCAAGAGCTTTCGCTTGGAGGATTCCAGCTGCTTCCTGAGCGCGCCCGTATCCACTTCTGGGCTTCCAGCTGCTTCGTCCGCAGGACGGCCCCGCTCCTCACCACTGTCCTCTGAGTCCTGAAATACCCAGCAAGTGTCGATCTTCACATCAACGTTCATTATGTCAAGCCCATCACTGCTGGGCACTCTGACAACGTAGCTGAAGCTTTTCTCGGTCCGTCCTGTAGCCGTGGGCTCCATCCCATACAAAGCTCCTGGGTCAGGACTTCGTGACATTAAGTGGATTTGCAACACTGACTCTCTGGAGATCTCGAGATGTCCGCAGGGCCTTCAGATTGCGCAGGAGAATAACCTTTGAGGAGGGTAAGAACAGGTGAATTATTCACGAGTGGGCCTTGGGTTTCATTCACACGCATCATACAATATGAATGAACACCTCTCGGTTTACAAGCTGGCGTGCCAGGAGGCACCCAAAGCAAGAAAACATCACAGAAAGGTCACTTGGAATTAAATGCTTAATGATGTGCACAGAGAGGTAAGATGAAATTTCCAGGCAGGACCATCAGAAATATAAATTCTCGGCGGTGCAGCTCAAGTTTCACCCTCCTATATGAGTGAATGAAGCTCTATGCTTCCTCTCTGAGGATCGGAAACATTAATCAGGGACCTAGGGCTAGTGCTGCACTCTGAGTATCGCCGGAGATCTCGGTCACATCACCCTAGCTGGTCCAGCTGTGCCGGTAACCCTAGGAGGTGAGCATTATCAAACCCATTTTGTAGATGGTGAGACAGAGGCTCACTTCCTAGGTAATCTTAGGAGGTGAGCATTATCATACCCATTTTGTAGATGGTGAGACAGAGGCTCACTTCCTAGGTAATCCTAGGAAGTGGGCATTATCATACCCATTTTGTAGATGGTGAGACAGAGGCTCCAGAAGGTGGAAGAGCTTGTCCAGGCCTCACATAGGAGAAGTGCTAGAATCAGGATTCAAACCTGGGTCTGAATCCAAAACTCGGGAGGTGAGAAATGAATGCACCACGACCCAGCAGGAGCAAACATGTCTTGCAGGAGGGAGCCAGGGGTTGGAGGGACTGCAGCTGACAGAGGTGGGCACAGGATTCTGCCAGGTGGAGGCAGCCTGCGGGTCCCAGACCCATGGCAGCATCAGGACAGATGAAGGGAGTGGCCGGTCCTGTGGGTGCTCGGACGGGAAATGAGGAAGGACAGACGGTGGCTTAGGGCCATGTCCGTGCAGACCTTGAGCTCCAGGGCAAAGACTTTGGCATATCTCTGAGGCCACTGGGCGGGGGGGGGGGGGGTCCTGGGAGTGTTTAGAGGCAGGGAGGGCCTGGTCAGATGTTGCTTTGAGGACAGCATCCTCTGGGGCATGCAGGAGGTGACAGGGTAAGCCTTTTGCCAGCTTTCTGATCCAGGAATGTCTCTCTGAAGGGCCTGGGGACCATCTCTATGGAATGCAAACATCCAAGGAAAATACAACCCTGTCTCCCAGGTCCTGTAGGAGGTGAGGGGCCTAACTTCAGGGGATGCCTGGCTCCATGCCCCAAAGCCACCTGTCATAAAGATGAGAAAAGTTTTGTTCCCCTTTGTATAAAAAAAAAATAAAATGAGATGAAAATTGAGAGGAAGGCAAACCATAAGAGACACTGTTAACTCTAGGAAACAAACTGAGGGTTGCTGGAGGCAGATGGGGTAACCGCGTGTCGGGCATTAAGGGGGTCACGTGATGTGATGGGCACTGGGTGTGATATACAACTGATGAATCACTAAATTCTACCTCTGAAACTAACAACAACAACAAAAAACCCAAATTAACAAATACAGAGGGTCACCCCAACGGCAAGGTGAATTTAGGGTGACCGAGGCATAACAGATGGTGCTATCAAGTCCTCTTACTGGAAAACTGATCACTAATATCCTGAGGACATGTACAGAATGGATTGTGGCTGCTTGGCTAATAAAGGGGTGAGATTCCTTTCTGTCTCTGCAAATCTCTGAGCAGAGCACCTAGGATGCGCATCACGTTCTGGTTTGATGCTCATTCAAGAATAAACATGCTTCCTTTCTTGTCTACCTCCACGGACAGGTCTTCTGGGTTGGGGGAAGGTTTTGTTTTAATTCCACTGCTCCAGCAGTGGCCGGTGTGCTGGGGTGACCCACAGAGCTTGCGACAGACATGGAGGCAGCGGGGTGGGGTGGCGGTTGAGAGGGGTGTCGTCAGGCACCTGGACCACACGGCCTGGGATTGAATCTCATTTCTGTTCTCAGATAGAATCCTGGGGAAATTACTTAACTGCTGGGCGTAGTCTGGGGGGGGCATAGTTTGGAGTCTGCAGAAGCCCCCAAGAGCTCTTAGACAACCTCAGGGAGGAGCAACCCCAAATTGGCAGGCCTCTAGCAGGTTCTGGTTAAATGTGAGAAAACTGGCAAAAACAAACACGTCATTGTTTGTACTGGGACCATCAGGCAGAATTCCACAGGTCACAAACTGGCTATGGAAGGTGAGGGAAAAGCTGGAGCCAGAGGGGACCATGAGACTTTCCGTGCACAGGATGGAAGGAGGGGGAAGAAAGGGGGAAGGAGCAGCCGGTGGGAGGAAAGCTAATGAATTTGCTCAGATAGGTGTTGAGCTCTCGCTAAAGCACCGTGTTCATCTCTCCAAGGTAACCCTGACAAGGAACAGGGGACACAGTGCCCAGTGCCCCTGCAGCTAGCCCCCCCTACACACAAGACCTCAAACCGTGCCGGGTGCCGTCAGTAAATCTCGGGCCCTTCGGATGAACTGAGCATCCGTGCAGCACACACGCCCCCTGCCCTTTTGCATTTCACAGAAGTTGAGCTCAGGATGCGCCACGGAGGGCAAACACATCCGTGAGCAGCGGGAACCAAAGTGAAGTGGGGCCACCAGCCAAGTCCTCGTGCTGTACGTGGACCCCCTCGTCCCGGCTTGACTGGGACTTACCCCACTTTCAAACTGGAAGTCCCACATCCTAGACAAACGGGGCTGGCTTGTCAGCCTGCATTGCTGGTCTCCTGGCCCACAGCACCGCCAGAACGGCGGGGACAGGACACAGGGGTGACCTCTGGACGTCCCTGCCCAGCTCCGCACGGGTTGCCGCTGGCCACAGAGGAGCCAGGAATGAGGGTGAGGGGCTTCACCACGTGCCAGCAACTTGCCAGGGCTCTCCCCTCAGCCTCCCAGCAGATCTGTGAGGAGGGTGGTGGGAAAGGGTAGACCCAACCCTTCTCCTTTCCACACGAGACACTGATCGGGGGTTCAGCTGACCTCGTAGCTCTGCTGCCCTGGGAGCCACACCCGTGGGGGACTTTGGCTGCGCTACGAGGCGGCCGTGAGGGGTGTATGCCCCCTCCTGGGAGCGGAGGGCTGTGATGGAGTCCGGGTACACGTCTGCTGGGCCACCAGAGCTCCGGGGTCCCCTGACTACAACGGCTCTTGGAACCGGGTCTGTCCCTGGCGGGACCTTGGAAGCAATGCCCGGGACGGTCACAGGAAACACTAGCCCCTGCTGGGGGACTTTGGGTTTCTAAGCCAGGGCTGCTCCCATACCTGCTGGTGTGGGTCTCACTCCCTTGCGCTGTTTCGGAGAACGGCTCCTGGTCCCCCAGGGGTTGGGTGGTCTCCTTCGCCAACAAGTCCCACCAAGGGAGCCATGGGTGCTGCCTGTCACATCTCCCGCCAGGATCCCGGAGTCCTGCAGGTCTGTCTAGTCATGTCCCACGGAGACAAGAGGCAAGATGTTGCATGGAAACCATCACCCCCATCCCACGGAGAAGTTAAGACTCAGAGCAGCAGGTACTTTGCGAGTGTCTGCTGTGCGAAAGGGGCCAGGCTGGGAGTGGACCCAGATGGGTCTGACTTCAAAGCCAACAGCATTCCTGCCCTGTTGTCTGAGTGGGAGAGCCGAGCAGACAGAAGGACAGGGACAGGAGGGCATGAGGACCACCCCCCTCGATGCTCCTGCAGTGGGGAGAGGCTGGGCACTCGGTGCCTCAGAAATGCTTCCCAGAGACCCATGTGCACCTCTGGACTTCTGTCTACTAAGTTAGCAAAGCAATGGCTCTCTATGCTGCCTGGGCCCCCAGGGGAAGCAGATGGGTGTTCATTTTCACTCACTGCATGGTTCCATACTCCCTTTGCTACCCGGGATGCTCAGCTGCCTGTCTTCAAGCAAAGACACGAGTTCATTCCCATTTGGATACCAAATGTTGGTAAGTCGTGGCAGGTGGCCCCTGTCCTGCCACACCTGGTGTGGCAGGTGCTTTGGGTTTAGATTGCAACAGAGAATGGTCACTTCTCAGCTGTCCTGGTGTGCATTTGCTTAGAGCGCCCCCCCGCCCCAATTCTTTGATTTGGTTTGGACATCCCGCCCCCTCTGGCTGGGCACCCCTTCTGTGCCCACTGCAACCTCCTTCTCCATCCTTGGGTTTGCCCTTCTGAGAACTTCCAGTTCCTCTGCTGGGCTCCCATCTCTGTGGGTCCCCTCAGTGGCCTCAATCTCAGTCACTTGGATTTCTCCCAGGGTTCTTCTTACTAGAAATCCCAGGGTTGCTCTTGAAGCCCAGCAAACACAGAGCAGTTAATCTTCCCATCCTTGGGATCAGCCCAATCCCTGATGATCCTCCTAGGGCATTCATCCTCTCCTTCACACCTTCCGTTTCACTTCATCCCTCCTAATTCCACACGTCTTCTTCCAGAAGTTTAGGAGAGAGCGGTCATGTGAGCAGGGGCCTCTTCTGCAGACGGTCGCCCACCTACCCCACCCGCCCTAGGATAAGAGCAGCAGCCACACCCCCAAGTCTCTTCCCTTCCGAGGGGCTCCCTCCGGGGCCAACTCTCACCAGCTCCTGCCTGCCCTCCTGGCTGCCCCACTCCGTCTTCTAGGAGGTTCCACTCAGGGGCCCGTGTCCTGAGGTCAGGAAGGGCTCCTTCCTCCACGACTGTGAGAGAGTAGCGCTGGGGTCAGAGGGAGGCTTGTTCCCCACGGACGCGCCACAGAACACTCCACCTTCCAGCATTTTCCCTCCGCAGCGCCTTGCAAATTACAACCAAGATGAAAGATAGCCTGGGACTGGTATAGTCTGTGTCCACCTTCTCAGTCCCCACTCCGCATGGCCCCAGGGACAGTCATGCTCTGCGACTGTCGCCGTGTCACATCCACAAGAGTGCTGGAGCCCGCGGCTTCCTTCTTGGAAATCTGAGGCCCTTGGATCCGCCCTCCACAATGGGCGAGCCTCCAGCCCCTCCTCAGAGTCCTGCTCACTCGCTCGCTCTCTCTCCCTCCCTCCCTGGTCGCCACCTGCTGGATCAGCTGCACAGGGATCTGAAGGGATTTGCTGATCAGGGTTTGAATTCAGGTTCAGGTCACAGGGACATTTGCAAGTCACTCTGGCTGACAGATTCCGGGCTACATGAAGCACAGTTCATGGAGACATATGTACATAGGTCTGTGTCCAGCTGGTCACACCCCCATGGCCAGGGGAGGCATGCAGCGCAGGGACAAGGACTCCGGCCTGGTCCCTGACAGTGCAGTGGCCCTCCAGTGACTCAGTTTCTAGTAATTGCACTTAGTTTCCTGGTATTCAGGTCTCTGCCCCTCGGGCTTTGAAGGTGCCAGAGTGGGGACTCGGAGGTGGCCCCAAGCTCAACAAAAATCCCCATCGTCTTCAGGGCTCCTACAGCTCGGCCCAGCCAGGACCCAGCCATGGATCCAAAAGGCTTCCTCATCAAGTATGCATGGATTCTGTTTTCAGTCTCTGGCTTGAAGTAGCTTGTTTTGCTGTTGAATTTTGGTTTGAGTGGGGGTTGGGGTTGCCGTAGGGACTCAATTTATTCCATAAGCTCTTTTTCTATCCTGTAAGATTAAAAAACAATTTGAAATGCTGTAAGACTCAACGGTTAAAATGGCTGGGGAAGCCCCTGGCTTATCTACCCTACCTGCCCCCTCTTCAGTCCCAATCTCTCCAGCTAAGCCCACTAAAGGACCTTCCCTGACCACGTAGGATAAGAGGAAATGGGACTTCGATGGCCTCATCTCCAGTACCTACCCCACCCCCCATGGTTACCCCCACTCCCCATCTGATTAGGCCTGGGACGGTCCCTTTACTAGTCACTACACAAACACTGCATGAAAGTCAACCACATGCCAAGCACTGACCTAGGCCTTGGGACACAGGAGATACAAAGCCCTTGCATTCAGGCGCCAGGCTCAGGGCTCCCATGAGAACATCAGGCAGGGGAGGAACCAGCAGCAGAGCTCGGCCTGGGAGTCAGGACAGCTAATGGGCACTGTGGGCATCCCCAGAGCTCATAGGGCTCTCAGCTTGGGCTAGATTCAGAGACAGAACTGTAGATCCTAGGGGCCCTGGCAGATCCCCCCCAGCCCTAAGGTGGACACTCAGAGCAAAGAGAATGGGGAAGGACATGGGTGCCCAAGCAGGAACTTGGTGAGAGCTGAGTCCTGGGGGCACGCAGGGCAGAGCAGGACCAGCTGCCCCGATGGCTTCCGTTCAAGGTCCCGGAGCATCAGAACCAGGCATAGGGTTAAGGGTGGGGGAGGGGCAGGGAGGTGGGGGCTCTTCACACAGGCTTCCTGGGTATTTTATGTGCAGGTCATGGACTTGCCCATCAGTCTCCTGCTCCTGAAGACCCCTGACCCCAGAAACCCCCTATGGTCTGGTTCACAGGCAATAGACAGCCCCAGAAACTAAAGCCAAAATAGAAAGAAACTTTGGAAAAACCACACCCCCCCTTTTGAAGATGAACTACAACAGGGAAGAAACCAGGTCCCCACTGTCCCTTCTTCTTCTTCACAAAGAGCTCTCCCAACCTCCCTCTGAAGGGTAGGACTCGCCAGAGACCCCTGGTGGCCCCCACCCAGGGAGCCAGGGAGCTGAGGCATCTACCACAGCCCACCTTCCATGGAGCCTCATCGCTCAAGGAATGCTATGGTCAGAAATGGGAGAAATTCTCCTTTTCAGAAAATCATCACATTTATCTGTGAAATTAAAAGAATACCAACCCGAGTTCTTTGCTTAGTGAAGTCTTCAAGGCCACAGAATGAATGCTAGTGAGAAAAACAAAAAAAGGAACAAAAACTATAAAATAAGACCAAAAGAAAATGAGGGGGGAAAAAAAGAAAAGAAAGAAAGAAAGATGTAAGATACATAGTATGGGATTCAGTGACACATTTCACAAGAACTACCGCACCAGGTTCGGGTTCAGGAGGAGGAAAGGGAAGTGAGCAGGCCTGGGCAGCTGACCTCACTGGGAAACCCGTCCTCTGGAGTCCCTCCGCATCCCCAAGTGCTCTCCCCAAACCCCTGGCTGATTCAGACAGACCAGGATGCTTTCGGTGCTGAGACATGGCTTTCCTGCAGACGGTGGCAGGACGCGCTACAAACGGAGGAAGGACCCTCCCATGGCCACGGCTGGTGGCTCCCACCAAAGGCCGGGCCTGGCCTGCGCCCAAGGACCAGGCATGTTCGCCCCGGGCCACAGGCCCCCCAGACCCACCTGCCCACGAGCAGAAGCCCTCCCCCCTGCACCATCTCTGCCAGGGCCCCCTCTCCCAAGAGACCATTATTTAAAATCTTTTGTGCCATTCAGTTCGTCTGCTTTAAAAGAAAAAAAAAATAGGGGGGAAAAATGGCCTTAAAGGAAGGAAAAATTATACAGATCAGTTTGAAAGTAGACTTCTCTTTCTGAACTGAATTCATGACCCGCTTTGTTGCGAAAGAATTACTGCTCATTAGGTAGAACCTGTTGGAGCATCATCCGGGGCTTTTGAAAATCGTTCTCCCTCCCCCCATGAGGTAATAACTCCCCTAAATTATTTATTGAAAAAATTCAAATCCAAACAGACAGCCACCAACTTTTACACAAGTTTTAGAGTCACTGGAGGTTGGAGCCGGACAGGGCTTACATGGAGTCACCCAGCTGTCATTTTCTACATGGGGAAACTGAGGCCCGCGGAGGTGGAAGGACTTGCCAAGAGCACCCGGTGGGGTGTGGCAGGGAAGGGTTCCTGGCCACTGACATGAGCCATGCTGCTTGCCCCCCTCGGCAACTCCTTTGCGACAAGAGGACACAGACCATCCTGCACACACTTGCTTTGCCCAGGAGGCCTCCTCACTAAAAATGCCACCTGCCTTATTTTACGTGTGTGCTAGACCACCTCGTAAAACTTTAATGAGCCAGACAACTGTGGCGTGTTTGAAGTCTCTTTGCTGTCCTTTCCTGCTCTGTGACCCATTTTGCCCACTCGAGTCCTAAAGCCCAGCAGGGGGACTGAGACGCAGAACCAGCGTTGACGGCCCACCGACCTCGTCTGGGCCTGGAGCTCAGAACATCACACGCCCACGCTCATGCAATCCGCACAACCACCCCAGAAGACAGGGAGAGATGCGAGCCCCCAGGCCAGGGTGGAGGGATAAATCCCCCAGGGTTCCAGGGCCGGCCTGGGGCAGAGCCCAGACACACCTGCCTGCAAAGCCCGGTTATCCCCGGAGATTCTTGGATGGAATTAGACTTGAGATTCCCTCGGGACCTCAAAACAGCCCCAGATGGTTGCGGTGGCATCTGCAGACGGAGACACTAGGCATCTGCTTAAACCAGAATCCCACAGAGGTTCCCAGGGCTCTAGTGGGAGAACTGGCCTGAACCCCTGCGCGAGCCGGCCCGCCACGACCCTCTGCTGCCCCCCAGAGGACACTGCCGGTTGTGCGGGCCGGAGGCTCAGAGGCTCCGGATGGAGAAGGAAGGTGACTCCTGCATCCTCTCAGGAAAGGGGAGGAAGCTTCTAAAACTGGCTTAGCATCATCTGAAGAGCTGTTCTGTCTCTTTGGGCCCACGGTGTTTGATTGCCTCCAGGTTGGGAAGGGGCTGTTTTCCTATTTTTAGATTATCTGCCCAGAAATCGGTCCTCGGGGGACTTCTGTGACTTTGGCCCCACTTTGCCCACGGGGGGAATTGGCGTCCTCTCTCTTAACTGAAGCCCACCAATGCCCTTTCTCCCTCTTCCTCCCCAGGGTGACTGCGTATCAGCCTTCGAGGTTGACTGGGATCCCCTCCTTGGGCACATCGTCCCCGATGGCCCCCGGACGGGGCTGGAGCCTTCGTGTGGCTCCCACACGTGAGCTTACCTCTGTGACACAGAACGTGCAATGACAGGCTTTGCTTCACTTGTCTATGACTCACCTATGACTCGCCTGGCAAACATGTGAGGTGCCCTGTTCCACGGTGAGAACTGTCTTGAATACAGCGGTGCATACAAGCTGGTCCCTGAGCTCAAGGACCCCGCGGTCACTGGGCGGATGTAAGTGGGGGGACACAGATGCCACACACATGGTTCTGAGTGGCAGCTGTCTGTCTGCCTGGACCCATGGAACATGCTGGGGGGCTGAGGGGGGGCTGCGGCACCCAGGAGACCAGCTGCACCTGCCCAGCTGCGGAACCAGGGGCCAGTGTCTGAACCCATCTCCGGCCCAGGCTCCCCACCCGTAAGATGATGCTAACGCAGAGAGACACATGAGGCCGGGTGTCAGCATGGGACAGGTCAGCCTTGCTTCTCGCTGGGAGGGGAGAGACTCCCAAGAACACACAACTGGGTTTTGGCACACAGAGGTCATCTAAGGGGAAGGGGTCCGTGGGACAGAACCAAGCCGGGCTTATCGCTCCAGAGAGGGTCACACCATCCCCGAAAGGTCTTTTGTGAGGGAAAATAAAAGACATCTCACCCCCACTTTGCCCACACACAAAGTTGGTCCCAAACTGCACTTTTCTTCCCTAGAAAAGCCTTTGAAAGAGCTACTTAGTTCGTGGATGTGCCCATCTTGGGGGGACCGGGGCAGAGAAGGGAGGCGGGAGGCAGCCCCCTCTTGCATTACAAAGCTGGCATTGCAGAAGGACAAGGCCCCACGGTGACCAGTCCCAGCAAGAAGCCCCAGGGGATGGGGGGAGGGGCCGGGCGCCCCACCTACCTTTTCCTCAAGCTCCTTCAGATGTCTCTTCTGGATCTCCAGCTTAGCCTCCAATTCTCGGATTCTCTGAAACACATGACCTCATGCATCAGAAAAGGTAAAATTTCCAGGTTCAAAACTTACTCTTTACTCTTTATCATGGTGTGGCACACAAGCAGAGAATCAGGCAAATACAGGTGGGCAGTGTGACTGGGTTTTATACGTGTGCAGGCCCGTATCTCCACCACCCGAATCCAGATAGAGGGCCCCCACCAGGAGGCTCCTCGGGCCCTCCGTCCTCCAACACGGAGGGTCGATATTGCCTGTTCTTGAAGCGCACGGAAACAGAATCACACATCATGGATTTGAAGTGGCATCAGATGATGTACTCGTGCAAGACTGACTTAGCTGGAGCTGGGGCGCTGAGCGGGGGAAGCGAGGACCGGCCGTGGCCATCGCTCCCACAGGCACCCCAGCCCCTTAGAAGCCCGCTCAGCACATGTGCCAGGATGGCCAAGCGTCCCAGTTTGCCCAGGACATTCCTGGTTTTTGCCACTGAAGTCTGGGGTCCCCGGAAACCCCTCAGCCCCAGGAAACCGGAAAGGCTGGTCACCCTGCCTGCTGCGGTCTGCCGAATGCCCCTTGGGGCACTCACCCCTGCTCCAGGGTTTACCAGCCCATTCCTTCCAGTTCCACATGGCATCCCACCCAGAATGTCTGGCAAGTGTAAACCTTTTCCAGACTGTCACATGCCCAAGAGTCACCCCTCAAGTGCTGGTACCCACCGCCCCCCCGACCACTGCCCAGCCGGCTACAGCCCTGCCAGGCCTGAATGCAGATGCAGAGTTCACTCTTGCAGAGAGTGCTCCGGCTGCAGGGTGGGTGACCCAGGTCAGGCCCCATAAGCATGTGGCCTCCACGGACACTTAGCCAGGCCTGGAGAAGCCTTCCGTGCATTCTGTAGGACAGTGGTTCTTGAATCCAGATCAATGTCACCTGGAAGGCTTACAGATCACTGCCTCCCCCAGCAGAGTTTCTGACTCAGTTTCGGGGCGTGAGCCCGAGTAGCTGCATTCCAGCAAGTTCCTGAGTGATGCAGATGCTGCTTGTCTGGGGACCCACTTTGAGAACCACCTCTATGGACACATTCACCCACTCAACAAATATGGGTCAATATGCCTGGGGCCCTAAAGAGTTTGCAGTCCAGTAAAGTTCAAATAAAAGCATTATTCGGGTACCCAGATGGTGCATTGGATGAATACAAACGTCATGGAGAAAATCAAGCAGGGGTAGGGAAGGGGGCGGGCTGCTATTTTATGTGGGTGCTCCAGGCAGGTGGCGCTGGAGCCCAGAGGGGAGAAGAGTGGGGCACTGAACCATGAGTTGGGGAAGCCAGAAGAGGCAGAGCCCAGCCCAGCACCCACAGTGGTTTGCTAGACTTGGAAGGGGGAAGGGAATTCCAAGCAGAGGAAAGAGGGTGCGCAGGGACGTGGGAGTGTGGGGACAGGGGCAGAGCTCAGAGGGTCTGGAATGTCCCAATGAGGAGCTCAGAGATTTGGGGGTGACATGGGGAGCCTGTGAAGGGTTTTAAGCAGGGATATGATGAGAGTTTGATTTTGGCAGAAACAGAACGGATTGGCATGGAAGACAAGAAAATTACTTATCCTCAGATAGGAGATCTCGGGCAAGTGATTCAACCTCTCTGGGCCTTGGTTTCCTGATCCGTAGATTGGGGGTAATTGTGTTGCCCACGTCTGAGGATCTAACAAGTGAATCTGCACCAAGGGCTCAGAGCAGAGTTGGCATAGAGTACACACCCTATAAAGGATTAAGAAACCCATACGTTTCTAATTCTCTTCCACCTGAGGGAAGGACTGTGCACCTCAGTGTGGCATGACCATCCCCCAAGGATCCCCTGGCAAGGTGATGAGGCAGAGAGCACCCAAGAACAGGCACGGAACTCAGCTGGGGGACGCCTGGCTGGCTCAGTCAATTAAGCGTCTGCCTTCAGCTCAGGTCATGATCCCAGGGTCCTGGGATCGAGCCCCGCATCGGGCTCCCTGCTCAGCGGGGAGC